TCAGCAGCCCAATTAACTAAAATTTAATAATTAACTTTTTACTGGCTGCGGTAAGTTGGCATGTTTATATTGAAAAAATGTAGGCAGTGGTGTTTGTACACAGTTTCAGTTGGAAGATTTTTTCTAGCACGCCTGTGTTCCGAGATATCCGGCTCCAAAGTTTAATTGTCTTTCGCACGATTACGCATGCAAGAGGGTGAGGGTCCGCGCAAAGCTCCTCCCTAAAGTGACGCATCTGTTGCGTGTGGTGTTTAGTGTGTGAAGAGGGTGGAAGCGTAGGCATAGGTGATAGCAATTACCCTTGCCCTCTTCGGCCGTCGAAATCAAAATCGAAGAACGCTTGCAACCAGTGTCGTAACACGCAACTGCAGAGCCTCTAACGATAGTGGCAGATACCATGCCGAGATAATGGTGCGAGCGGAGAATCTGGATGCCAGTGCGCGTGCGTAATAATCACTAGAGAAGCATGCGTGGTCGTTGCCTGGGCTACGCGAATAGCGTGACTGCTGATGTCCGAGTACTGTAACTTTTATTGAAACAAGAGCAACAACTCCACCAATAATAACTGAAACAGTTTTATCCTTGCTAACGCATATTTCCTGCTGCTACATAAGCATATTTCGGTCATGCACAATCTCATCGAAACTCTTCACCTCTCAAGACGTCAATGCCCCAAAAAGTGTTCAAAATGCCTGCCTTCGGCAGCAACGCAAAGCATGAACCGCTGTCGCGTCGACTCGATGACTCGGCGCAGTACTTCTGCAGGAATACTCGCACAGGCAGATGTTATCCTGTCCTTCATGTCATTAACATCGCTGGGCTCTGTTACGTAAACTCGATCTTTAACGTAGCCCCAAAGGAAAAAGTCGAGCGGAGAAAGGTCAGGTGATCTTGGTGGCCAAAACATCGCTCCTGCGCGCCCAATCCACTGTTGTGGAAAACGTCTGTCCAACCAGTTCTTCGCCCTGGTAGAAAAATGTGGTGGTGCTCCATCGTGCTGAAACCATACTTGGCGCAGGTCATTCAGGGAAAGACTGCAGACAAGATCATCAATGACAACACCTAATATTTCTTCTGTGTACATCTTTCCGTTCAAGTTGTCCTCAAAAAAGTGAGGTCCGATGATCCTGTCCCCGAGTATGCCGCACCACACATTCACACTCCAGCGAACTTGATGCTTGTGCTGCCTCAGCCAGTGTGGGTTTTCTTGTGCCCAATAATGGGCGTTGTGAAGATTAACACTTCCATTTCGGCAAAACCGAGCTTCATCAGTCCAAATTATTCTGTGCAAAAAGTCATTTTCTTGATCAGTTTTGATGAGGCCCCAATTGCAGAAGTCAACTCGCCTTTCAAAGTCCGCCTCATTTAGGTCCTGATGAAGGTAAACGTGATATGGATGGAACTTGTGCTTTCTTAAAACATTTGTGACTGTTCCGATGCTGCGACCGCACTGATCGGCAATCTGTCGGATGCTGAGCTCTGGCATCGAGGTTACGCACGCGACAACGTCGATTTCAAAGTCTTCATCGACGATTGCCTTCCTGGTCCGTCTCGGAAGGTGGACAGAGCCTGTTGTGCAGAAGCGTCGAAACAGGTTTGTGAAAGTGGGCCTTGTTGGAAGGGGACGGTGTGGGTGGCGAGACGCGTAAAGCTCCATTGCTAACGAAGCGTTGCCATTCATTTCAGCCATTGCAAGCACCACGTCTACTTTTACTTTGGTAGAATACCTCACGCCAGAAGCAGCCATATTAGCTCGAAAGGACTCCACGTGGATTTCCTTGGTAGACCTTCAATGCAGAGACGCTGTGCTCTAACCGGAGGCACCCTAGTGCAGGACGGTCCTGCTAACGCGTTCACAAGAAGATGTCTCAGTGTGATCTAAAGTCACGAAAAAACGTCGCGAAAAATGGTCTCCTGTTATCGCGTTCATCAGGATCATGCGTAAGGCTCATGGCGCACCGCGCTGTCACATTTTGATTTCGCCGGCCGAAGAGGGCAAGGGTAATTGCTATCACCTATGCCTACGCTTCCACCCTCTTCACACACTAAACACCACACGCAACAGATGCGTCACTTTAGGGAGGAGCTTTGCGCGGACCCTCACCCTCTTGCATGCGTAATCGTGCGAAAGACAATTAAACTTTGGAGCCGGATATCTCGGAACACAGGCGTGCTAGAAAAAATCTTCCAACTGAAACTGTGTACAAACACCACTGCCTACATTTTTTCAATATAAACATGCCAACTTACCGCAGCCAGTAAAAAGTTAATTATTAAATTTTAGTTAATTGGGCTGCTGACAGCGATAATTATCATCTAACTTTCTGTCCCCCTGGCCGCTTAACTTATTTGCACAAGTGGTTCTCACGTGCCTTCGAGCGCCTAATTTTAAAAAAATCATAAAGCTTAATTTTGAACACCCGGTACATGAGTGCTCTCCTACTGATCCGGGCATGTTATCAGAACACGCAGTGCCAAGTCATGATGTGAATTTACTGCTGTATGTTTTGGTGGAGAAAATGCCAGCAACAAAGTAGAGTAAAAGAGTATACATCAAACATCAGATGTGTGTGGTGATAAACAAACACTGCTCGGCTGACAGGTAGTTGTTTCAGGTAGCAAGCACTATGAGGTCCACGCAAAATGCTGCCATAGACTTCAAGCTTCAAACCCCTGTCATGAATGCGATTTAGTGTTTGTACTGACCGTTATCGCCCATCTAAATGTGAGTTGCACGATTCAGGTGCAAATAGTGTATGCGTGGAGGTGACCTGACAAGAGAAGAAGCACGATTGCATCAGAAGTTAGATTATGTCGCTTATACTGAGAAGTTTCAAAGGCCAAGTACACTCCATGGGAAACGTCCTTTTGCACGTTTCATAGTATGTGATGATGCTACATCACTGAGACTGAACTGGGCTCGTGTAGCTAAGTAATGATACATTAGGCTGGTCATTTTCTATTGTTCCGGAGCGCCCTGACAATGCGCGCCAAATTCCGCTGGTCAAAACCCATAGCTCTGGACACATTTGACTGGCTTTTTGACGACACTACTCTGCAGCTGACAGCACTCTAAGGCGCTCTCATGTTGGACCTCGAAGTGTGACTTCGTCACCTTGGTGACCTTGGTGACCACGGTGGAGTTCCGCCCACTTGGCTTCAGCCGCTTCCGTTATTGAAGTGGCGTCAGCCATGGCTGCACGAACGGCGATTTTGCGATGGTTCCTCGGCGCCTGCACGCTTGGTTTTTTTTTTTTTTTGCGGGAGAAAGCACATTGCCACGTTCACTCTTTTGGCCTCCGAATACTCAAGCAGGCAGCTGCGCTAAACATATAATTCACAGTGACATTGACATAGAGTGACATAGAATTCTAGTCACTGTATAGCTGCACGTTTGGCCCGAGCACGATTTCTCTGGCTCGGATCAACAGCGAAATTTGCCACATTGCAGTGAAATTCTGAGCGTGGCGGCGACCAGCTGAATGTATCACAAATCTTGTACGGGACAAGAACTACCTCAGTGAGGGCTCTTTTCATGCACACCATGTTCCCGAATTAGACATGTAAGCATCATACTACTACATTTCTCGTCATCTTTCTTTCTTTTATTGATATATTACTTGTCATGTTGTACTGATCGCAAAAGAGTTCGTAAGCGTTGGTTTTGATCTTTCGTGGCACAACCCAAGACGTCCCGTTGCAAAAGAAGGGAAGGATTACGGGAAATCAGAACGCAAAAAAAAGACAAATACTAATGGGTTAGTCCACCACTGACACACTGCTGATTAAATGACATTGACGCTAAGTAAAACAGGGCAGTCTCTTAAACTCGAGGGCTTTTGCAAGAGACGGTGAAGTTTAATCAGATTTAAAGGTTTACTGTACTATACACCTCCACATGAGATGGTGTATTTGTATTTTTTGTTCTGCTTTTTTGCCCGGATCATTCTTGCATATGAGGTACGATGTTGTTTCCTTTAGTTGAGTAACGAATTTAACTTTTTTTCTTTGCTTCACAGTACTGAAACAATACGTATACCTGAAACAACGATCCAGGGCGCATGCTTAGCAACCATGAGGAGGGAACCTTAAGCTGTTTTTTTTTCCTTCTGTGAGCTTTGTGTCTGCCAGGAAGCGTGCAGAGATTTTGTACGTGGCCCTACCTTCCAAAGAATGACTTTAAAGAGACCCTGTACTCCTAACAAATGATTAGCTGGCGATCTGGACGATCTGCGTAAAACTGCGCAAATGACTAGGAAACAGTCCCCCCCCCCCCCCCCCCAAAAAAAATACAGACATACGGGCGGATTAGGCAATGCACGGCCGCCGGTTGGACTCAATACATTTCTGCCCTTGAAAAAAATAACAGCGAAACTTTCCCGAGGCAAGGCGAACTTAAGTCGTAAGGAAGATTGCTGTCCACAGCCAGGTAGTTCTCTGTTTTCTTTTGTTGTTGTGAAAGAAGCCCATATTACTATAAAGCTTTGGCTTTGCTGAAAAACACGTAAAACAGGAAATGAGGAGAAAAAAAAAGATGAGAGTGTGACATTTATACCTGCATGGAATGCCCGTATTTCTCACTACTTCCGTAAAGTTGTTTCCCTCGCAGGTGCTTAACTTATTTCGTGAAACAACAACAATAACAACAATAACAAGAACCTTTCTTACCAGTCGAACCTTGCGACGTATAAATATTTGCGGAGGAGGCATTCATCATTTGGGACTCAGCATGAAAGTATTATGAGTATATCACATGAAACGTAAACAAAAAATAGTTGGGCTGCACAACGCAGCATAAATAAGCAAACTACAGGCTTGCAGTGTACAATAAATTTTTTTGGAATTCATCTCTAAGATTACGAAGAAAAACACAAGCACTATTCAAGTATATTGTTCGTACAGTGTTGCCCCGTCGACACGTGCTCTACAAATCACAAAGTGAATAGGAGAAAAAAAAAACGCCCTCAGTGAAAGTACACTCATTATGGAACGTTTGAACCTTACGAAATGCAATAACAATACTTTGACTACCGAACTTAGAAGTTAAAGTGTCCGTATCGCGTGGAACTTGCTGGATACTGCTGGGCATAACTGCAGTCACGGAAAAAAAAAATAGAAAGTGAAATGAAGGTTCCCGTTCAAACCGAAGTAAAAATTCAATTTAAAATTAAAATAAATGTGTACTTCAGGACACGCCCTTAATCAACTGACTTCATTTATCGAATAAGGAAGGATATGCACAATACATGAAAAACAAGAATGGAGACAACTTCCTCATAGTTCACATGAGAGCTGGGTGCTCTTGCTTAGTTATTTGTGAAGTGGCCTTCATTGCGTTTTCAAAGCATTGTTACTTATTGTATAAATAAGCGCATGTAATCTACACGGCACTTTCTGTTAGAAACACAGTGTTCTTAGTACGAATATGGGCCCAGTGGATGCAGCTCACTAGACTTTCGACCACTCTAGGATGCTTGCAGATTCCTCACATCTTCTGGGCTAGACAAAACATGAAAGAGATCATACTGTTACGCACGAGTACGTGCCCAGTGCGCGCATCATTGCAGGGACGATCACAAACGTCTAGTAACAACGATACACTTAGTGTGTACACACAGTTAACAACTGATAGTGTGACAAACGTGTGGCAGACGCGTCCTGGAACTGGCACGTTTGCTCTGTGGCTATAGTGGTGACTCACGTGGGTGAGGAAGCGGACATTACAGCCGTGAGATGGACACCGACAAAGTCACTACGGCAAAGACGCGCGGTGCAATGAGCGGGTGAAGTGCGAAGAAGCAGTGGTGCTCCGCGTGAATGTCCTGACAGTGCGGCCAGGAGAAGGCTGTGACCAGGATTCTAGGGCGACTCGGCGTTATCCGGGGGTGCGTCGTCGAGCACGGTGAGCATGTGGATCTGTTTGATGAGTGACGAGACGCCACCCTCTTTGAGGCGGCATCGACACAGGATGCGCTTAAAGGCCAGCCGAAAGTCCTTGCTGACAAGCACGTAGATGAGCGGGTTGATGGCCGAGTTGCAGTATCCGAGCCAGAAGAAGACCGAGAACAGCAGGTTGGGGATGCAGTGCTCGCAGAATGCACGCACCAGGTACACTGTGAAGAAGGGCAGCCAGCAGCATATAAAGCCACCCACTATGGTGCCCACGGTCTTGGTGGCTTTGGCCTCAGTGCGGAATCTCTTGGCCTGCCACCGTTGACTGCGTTTGCTCGAGCGCGAGCCCTTTCCGCCGCCGCTAGACGTGGAAGTGCCGTTGCGTCCACTGTTGCGGGCGCTGCCCCTGTTCGACTTGAACGAGGGCGGCGCCGAGCGTGTGGTCCGCTGGTCACTTTGCTGACGTGCTTTGCTGGCTGACGACCGGGCACTGGCTGACGGCTCGTCGCGCGACTTCTTGAGTCCTGGCCGACGACGACCGGTGACGATGCCATCGATGCAGGTCTCAGCACCGAGGTGCTCGCTACCTCGCTTGGCGTTCATAGCGGAATCATTACCGCGGTGTACGCGCAGTGTGAGCCTCTGGTCCGTTGTGCGTCCCTTGATTTTTCCTGACTTTGTGGTTATGAAGCCTCGCTCAAGGGCGCGCCCAGTCTGGATGGCTGCACGGTATATGCGGTAGTTGAAAAACAGCATGAACAACATCGGTATGTAGAAAGAGCCCAAGGCCGAGTAGATGACGTAGCCCTTGTTGTTGATCAGCACACATTGTGCGGACTTGCAGAGCGGCAACGGGCCATCGGCAGCGATGCTCGTATTGTGCAAGGTCTCATTGGACCCGAGGTAAGGCACGCTGTTTTGAGACCCGCCGTCGTTCCACCCAACGAGCGGCGGGAAGCAGATGACAAAGGCGATCACCCACACCGCCACGATGAGCAGCTTGGCGCGGCGTGATGACATGAGGCTCCGGTAGCGAACCGGCCGCGTGATGGCCAAATAGCGGTCTACGCTGATGGCGCACAGATTCAGAATGGATGATGTGCAGAGCCACACGTCCACAGCAAGCCATATCTGGCACCAGGTGTGACCGAAGATCCACACCTCGAGCACCTCCAACACAATCGAGTATGGCAGCACGGTGAGCCCAACCGACAAGTCAGCCACAGCCAATGACACCACGAAGTAGTTGGTGACAGTGCGCAGCTTCGTTGAGGCCAGCACGGCGACAATGACCAGCAGGTTGCCGAAGATGACCAGCGCATTGATGGAGCCCAGCACGAAGAACAGGGCCACAGTGACAGGCTCATGGAGCTTCTCTGGCGGCACGCGGGACAGGCACGTCTCGTTCATGCTGCTACCGGGCCGCCGCCACGGTACTCGGGGCTACCTTGCGTCGCACCACGCTCGCGGCCGCCAAGCCTCATCCTGTAGAGCTGCCCCCGGCCACATGGCGTGCCTGCAAGTACACAAAACATTGAGTTCACACTTGTGCATTCGCTCAAGCTGTAATTGTTAATCAACAGAGACCTTTCTTGATGGCCAGTTTCTCGCTCAATGGCGATTGATATGATGTTGATGCACCAGTGCATTTGTAGAAAAAATGGCGATCTTTTGTTTTCTTCATGGGATGAGTTGTGTTGAGATGCAATATCAATGATTGCTTTATTCGGCCTTCAAAAGAAGCTGATTTCGGCAAGCTATATATGAATGAGGAAGTCTGAATAGGCATTGACAATCACTTTGACTCATTCCAGCCAACTTACGTTGGTCATTCTAACTGGAATGTTGTACAGTAAAAAGCGGGTTCAATTTTGGAGGATAAAACTTAATTGAGAACTAATGATTCGACTATTGAAGTGATGGGAAATCAACCATGTGGTAGCAGAAAATATTTGCTACAGCGGAATAATAAAGCTGTTAATACGGCAAAGGGTCGAAGAAATAAGGAAAAAATATAACACCCATAAAGAACAGCATAAAAACATACGGTTTTTGTATTATTACAAATAATAAGCGAATGCTGCGGAACTGAGCAAGGGGAAAGGATCAATTGACAGAGCACATAACTTGTTCTACAGAAAATTGTTATACACCATTAAGTTGACGAAGCGATAACTTATAAAAACGTCCTTATGAAGACCTCCCAAATAGTTTGTGAATGGCTACGCCTCGAAACAACAAGTGAAAGCTTTATCACCTAGATAGCTCAACGAGGACCTTTGAACGTATGCGCAGTGTCTAACGGCAGCTGAGCTAGTCAAACTGCGTGGAACATCGTGGCTTGAACTGTTCATTTAACTTCTTTCGAGTAATAACATGTATAATACAATCGGTAAATTCTTTATTTTTTTGGTAATTCATTTTATTTTAAATTCGGTCATTTTTTAATAACTTTTTCTTTAACATGTAAAATTATGTTTACCCTGTGTGCAATATAGGCAATTGATTCTTGCGTTAACTTCACTGATGTATAATGTGTAATTTACCTCATGTGTTGAGCCCCGCCATGGTGGTCTATAGTGGCTAAGGTACTCGGCTGCTGACCCGCAGGTCGCGGGATCAAATCCCAGCTGTGGTGGCTGCATTTCCGATGGAGGCGGAAATGTTGTAGGCCCGTGTACTCAGATTTGGGTGCACGTTAAAGAACCCCAGGAGGTCAAAATTTGCGGTGGGGCCGCAAAGCAAGAACACTGGAACTCAAGCATGTAGAGGCAAGGATGGTGGTCTCCCTGGCACAATAAACTGTGGTTATATTGCTGCAGGGGCAATGAAAATTCATTCAGGAGCTAGCTAGGCCGCAATGGATTTTATCGTCGGGTCGGGCACGCAGCCATCAACTCTCTCTTGAGTTGAACTCCGAATGGTTTGGGGTAAGGTACCATGATATAGGATGTACAGATGGAAAATTCTGAGTTCGACTTCTTCGGACAAAATTTATACTTATCTGTAGCTGATAAAACTAAGTTTAGCACTGCGCCCACCCTTTTTTCTCTACCCCCACCCCCCGCTACTTTTCCGGGTAGCGTATTTCACACTCCTCCCACTGGTTACACCGCGATATATTTTTCAGTTAACAACAAAACTTTGTAGAAAAGAGCATTCTTAATACATGAATGCGAGCTGCACATACAAGCGTGATCAGTAACACATGTAGAGATTTCAGGGTCCAGTCATCCACCCTAAAAAGATATCTTTAGACATAGAGCCGTAGACGTGAGGGATAATTACCACTAAACAATGCGAATATAGATTATTTAAAAATAGCAATGGGCAAGTGTACCTTCTGCGAATTTACTCAATCCCATTTTGGCATTATGTGAAACCTGGTTGTCTATAGCGTATGATCCACCGAATGGAATGGCTGCGTTTCACGCAAAGCTTTCCTGAGCAACGAGCGTTTCGTTAAAAATAAACGCAACTAACATCGCTAACGACATTTTCATTCGAGTGTTCCCTCGCAAATCTGGTCTGCGTATTCGGTCTCACGAAAACTTTGCCATGCGTAATAAATGCGGAGCACGCGTCAGCGTTTACTGAAAGTTCGAATTTACGATGTTGTTAATGCGCGTCGACATGAGCAAACCGTGATTGCGGACGTTTCAGATGGTCCTCTTGCTAACCATTATGAGTCATCTTCACAACAACAACAACAATAACAACAACAACAACAACAACAACAACAACAACAACAACAACAACAACAACAACAACAACAACAACAACAACAACAACAACAACAACAACAACAAACTACTACTACTACTACTACTACTACTACTACTAATAATAATAATAATAATAATATCTGAATTTTGACGTCACGAAACCACAATATCATTATGAGAGACGCCGTTGTGGGGGGCTCCGGAAATTTCAACCATATAGTGTTAATTCTTTAACGTGCAGTTAAATCGCACAGTACATGGGTCTCTACAATTTTCTCTGCATCAAAATGCGGCCGCCGAGGCCGCGATCGATCCCGCGACTTTTGAGTCAGCAGCGGAACACCTTGGTCACTGATCCAGTATGGCGGACAACTGCACTTCCTCGGTATTCTAATTGTACGCCGCTGAACCAGGCGGACGGCTGTCTGAATGCCCCCCCCCCCCCCTTTCTTTTCCCATGAATCTGCTGTTTTCCACGACAGCGCATGGTTTTATGGCACACGACATGGAAAGCAGAAAGAATTTCTCCCATGTATCCAAATTGTGAAAGAGACTATTAGTGAACAATAGCAACAGTTACGAACGTAATAAAAGGGAAATAAAAACTGCGATACATACATAGGGCAGACGTTTTTCGTCTTTTTTGTCCTTAACAAGTATTTTTCTGTAATCAAGATTTGATAGACGAAAACGATACGAGAGATACAGAAATAACTTGTTACGGTCATTTGCGGACTGCATGCTTGCTCGATGAGCCATCGTAACGCGCGCGTGCGTACTTCCATTGCGAAATTCCCAAACGAAATGAGTCGACCGCTTTAATGAACAACCGCCACGACAGGACGCGTGCCAGCACTCGGTGAGTTTAAACACACTGTTGGACCCAGAGCGAACTTTATTACGTCCCCTGAATTGGTCTGCACGTTTCCATGCGCTACGTGGAACAGCCAAGGCGTATTGAAAGGGTTTCTGGGTGTGCGGCTCCCCACAAGAGCGCGCTTTTCACACAAAGGTGTTCGCAATAGAAATGCGGTTTAATTGCATCCTGGGGTGAATGCTGGCCGCAAAATGAAACGTAGAGCATGTGGAGAATTATACGCGAAGAAAATGTATTCCATAGTTCACTGTCTGGGCGCACTGCCTGCGGACGAGTGGAGACAGCATGCACGAGGAAGCGTCATGCTTTAAGCCCGATGTGACAGCATGAAGGCAGCCGTCATTCTTGGGTTGGTTACGCAGAACTCACCAGCACGACCTTAATGTTCTCACATAAGGACGAAACCAGAACTAACACCAGCGCACAATATTGATATGTGGGGTTTAACGTCCCAAAACCACCATATGATTATGAGAGACGCCGTAGTGGAGGGCTCCAGAAATTTCGACCACTTGGGGTTCTTTAACGTGCACCCAAATCTGAGCACACGGGCCTACATTTCCGCCTCCATCGGAAATGCAGCCGCCGCAGCCAGGATTTGAACCCGCGACCAGCGGGTCAGTAGCCGAGTACCTTAGCGACTAGACCACCGTGGCGGGGCCACCAGCGCATAATAAAAAGGTGAATTTAAAGAATTGCACCATATCCCGCTAAAGGGAACCATGTGGCGATGCGAAGCAGCGGGCGCTAACAATTACACTGGCGCCAGCACTGACGCTGGCGCTCATCGCGGTGTTGCGCTAGAGAGAAACCCGGAGGGGGCCCTGATTGATTTCTACCTTTGGCGTTTTTGGAAGGACACACATATCTAACTACATAGGCAAGTGGTGCATGGTACAAATTCCTTCTGTGGTGTTGTGCCTCAAGTGTCCTTCGTTCTTCCGGCTATGGTGATCGCTGCAGGCGTCTAGTGTACGTGCTTCACCCTTTCCAGGGGCAAAGCAACTGTACTGCACTGACTTCACCTTTGAGGGCGGGATACTATGACTGCTGATGGACGCTAGGCTGGCCTGAAATTATTAAATAGTTTACCCAGCAAGTGATCTGAGCAGAACGTAGGATTGCTGAAAGAATAATACGCTACCAGAAAGATGTAAAGAAGCATCCTTCTCTTTTCGCCCCGACAGTAGAAGTCTTCCATCACCAATGCCTGGAGGGTTTCTGGCGACTTTGTCAGCCCGAACCACAACGTACTTTCGACTGTGATTCTTCGACTGCATACAGTGGAAAGAGTGTGAGATGACAGGTGAGCTGCCCATTCTAACACTGCAAGCGGGGTGCTCGTTGTGAGAGTTTTTGCGGTGGTAGCCGGGCCCATTGACTAAGAGGTGAAGTTTGGCCATAATTGAGAATGTACGTCCATGAGATAGAGTGAACAACAAAGAGATAGGGACACAGACAGAAGGGTCCATGACCGATGCTCGTACGCACATGCATGTATATACGAGAATGCACATAGTCATTTATAGTTCAGGTGTCTTCAGAACAACAGTCACACTTCATTACATATCCGGGTCTGTCTACACCAGATATAAATAAATGGTTAGAGCACAAAGACTGAATGCAGTGATGGTTCAAGTCTTTGTACACAGCCGGCATTAGATAATTTTTGTTTGGTTCAGTGTCGATGGCCATAGGACTCAAGACTGGATGGTTTTCCAGCAACAATTACTGTTGCAGCTGACGAGGCATGGCTTGGCAGTTCCTAAAGCGCGCACTTCGCTTGACTCTCTTTGAAAGAGCTTTACGTGTACAATTACGGGAAATGATTTCTTTGAGATGCGTACGCGTTCCGCATAGGATGACCGACACTGATGCATGCGATCATTGCGGCAGTGACGAAACAACTTGGCA